AGAGTTGGTGGGCATAGGGTTGCCTTAAAGTAAATTAAGATAAAATAACTGATGATACACAAAGGACTACACTAATAGAAGGGGGGGGAAGGATCCTAACTTGGGGGAAAAAATATTGGAGACAAATGGAGAAAAATATGAACTTAACTCTTATAAATTTAAATACAAATAGGTTTAAAAAAATTTCACGATAAAAGGGAAAAATGATAGATTGGCTAAGAAAACAAAACCCTACCATCTGTCGCTTACAAAAAACACACCTAAAAAGCAAATGCATACAAAGAATTAAACAAAGAGGGGCTAGAATAAAATGTAGTATGTATCAGGTGAATTTTTTTTTTTAAATCCAGGAGTGGGGGCAGCTAGGTGGCACAGTGGATCCACAGAGCACTAGCCCTGGATTCAGAAGGACCTGAGTTCAAATCTGACCTTAGACCAAACACTTGACACTAGTTGTGTGACCCCAGGCAAGTCACTTAACCCTATTGCCTAGCCAAAAAAAAAAATCCAGGAGTTGTAGTCATGCTATCAGACAAAGCAAAAACAAACATGCATAACACAAAAGCGATAAATAAGGAAACCACATGATGCTGAAAATAACCATAAGCAAGAAACCGATATCAATATTGAATTTAAGTGCTCTAAATGCCCTAACATCTAAATTCACAAATGAAAAATTAACTGAACTACAAGAAGACATAGACAGCAACAAAATAATGACAGGAGATTTCAATGATCCTCTCTCAGTTTTGGATATGTTTAACAGAAAGATCAACAAAAGGGAAAATATAGAACTGAACAAATTTCTAGAGAAATTAGAGATGAAGACATTGCATCTTCTAAATGGGACTTCTAAAGCATATGCATCTTTCTCAGCACCACCTGAAACTTTTATAAAACTTGACAGTGTATTAGGATACAAAGATATTGCAAACAAATGTAAAAAATCAGAAATAGCAACTACATCCTTTATAGACCATGACACAATAAAAATGATAATCAGTTCAGAGAACACAAACAAAAGACCCAGAACCAAATGCAGACTAACAATGAAATCTTTTAACAATTAAATAATGAGTGGGTAAAAGAACAAATCGTAGAAACAATTAATGATTATGTGAACAAAAGTGATAATGATGCAACAACATACCCTAAATAACACTTCCTTTCTATAAACCTCAGTTTACTCCTCTATAAAATGGAAGGGTTGGACTAGATATACAATCCCTTTGATATTCTATATTCTAAGGTCCTTTCCAGCTCTGACATTCTTTGTTCTATGAGTTTGACTCCTCTTTCCACCCCAGAAGCAAACTTCTGCAGAAACAGTTTCCCTTGACTCAGGTAAGTATCTTTTATGTCATACTGACTGAGCAATAACTATGGGAATAGGAGTATGATTCTAACATGGGTGTACTAACATTGATGCCCCATACCTGTTAAGTGGAGAAAAAGCCTTTTTTGCAGACTTTTGCACGTGGTTTTCCCATAAGTCTTTTCTCAGGATAACACAGTTGTTGTAGGACCAAGGTTCCTTTTCCTCTCTGCTGTTTAGTTTTCTCTAAAAGGCAACCAAGCTGGACCTGGACTTGGCTGGCCCCTTTATTTCTTGACTCAGCTTCCTTGTCACCTAAGGGCAGTGGTATGCTAGTAAATGTTTAACAATCAGGTCTCCAGGGGGGAAAAAAGGTGTATGTAACAAACCTTTAAGTTTAATCTGTATTATTAACATTTTCTCCATTACTCAAGTCTATATAATGAGTAAAACAGTAAATCAGGCCCTGGTTTATGGTGTTGGTTGATTTCTGGAGTGTAAATGCTCATGTAGAAAATTTAACAGCTGGTTTCTCTGGATTGTAAGAGCTGGTTTCAGCACCTCCCTGTAGGGCATTAAAAAGTCCCACCCACATGAATTCAGGACCCCTCCATCTCAGTGTATTTCAGAAGACACATTATCACCCCTCCACTTGTCCCTTGGTTGTACTCCACACCTTATCTCTCAAGCCATATAAGACTTGGCCACAGACTACACAAGAACTCGAGGATTCAACCTCTGAGCCATCTGATACTTTCACAATTGAGCTCAATCCAAAAGACTTCCTGGTGCTCGGATATCTCCACGACTGCAACACCATATATTTATGTGTAAATATGTATATGGGGATAAGAATATAAGGAAAACAGTTAGGTTTGTAGCTAAAATTCAGCACATTATTTACTGACAGTACACATAATAAAGGCAGGAATGTAAAGCAAGAGCACAGGTTAATGGCCCTCTCTCTTTTGCCTAGCTTTTTGTTTTTACCTTAGCTTCACTGGCATGCAGCTGTAGAAGGATGGGGCAGCCAAAGGAGCCTCATGGCCCCACCCTCCACATAGTTCTTGTGGGGTTGGGGGAGGAAGAGATGTCTCTGAAATCGATTTGGGGGACACAGCCTCACAACCAGATTCTCTTAACAAACATTAACACGAAATTTCTAAACCCAAGTCAGAGGATTGTCTGGGACCAAGGACCAACCTAATTATTTATCATTCTTTTTCAGGCATTCTACATTCCAGCCAAATTGGTCCACTTGCTGTTCTCCTTACATAACATTCTATCTCTCATTCCTGTGCCTTTGCACTGGCTAGGTCTGCTGTCTCTGAAATGTATACCTTTCTAACCTTCATTTCTTAAAATCTCTAGGTTTTCCCCAATTGATAAATTGTCAAAGCATATGAACAGGCAATTTTCAGATGAAGAAATTGAAGCTATCTATAGTCATATGAAAAATGCTCTAAATCACTATTAGGTAGAGAAATGCCAATTAAAACAACTCTGAGGTACCACCTCATACCTATTCAATTGGCTAATATGACAAAAAAGGAAAATAATAAATGTTGGAGAAGATGTGGGAAAATTGGAGCAGTAATGCATTGTTGGAGTTGTGAAGTGATCCAACCATTCTGGAGAACAATTTAGAACTGTGCCCAAAGGGCTATAAACTGTGCATACCCCCTTTGATCCAGCAATACCACTACTAGGTATGTATCCCAAAGAGATCATAAAAAATGGTAATGGACCCATATGTACAAAAATATTTATAGTAGCTCTTTTTTGTGGTAGCAAAGAATTGGAAATTGAGAGGGTGCCCATCAATTGATGAACAGTTGCACAAGTTGTGGTATATGAATGTTATAGAATACTATTGTGCTATAAGAAATGATAAGCAGAATAGTTTTAGAAAAATCTGGAAAGATTTACATGAACTGTTTGCTGAGAGAAGTGAGCAGAATCAGGAGAAGATTGTACACAGTAAGCAACATTGTACGATGATCAACTATTATAGAATTAGCTTTTCTCACCAATACAACAATCTAGCCAATTTCTAAACACTCATGATGGAAATTTATCCACATCTAGAGAAAGAACTATGGAGTCTGAATGTAGATCGAAGTATACTATTCTCTCTATTTTTTTGGTTTTTTTCTTTCTCATGCTTTTTCCCTTTTGTTCTGATTCTTCTTTCACAACATGACTAATGTGGAAATATATTTAATATGATTGTACATGTACAGCCTATACCAGATTGTTTGCTGTCTTGGAGGGAGGGGAGGGAGAAAAAAATTTGGAACTCAAAATCTTATAAAAGTTAATGTTGAAAACTATCTTTACACATAATTGGAAAAAAATAAAATACTGTTAAGTAGATAAAAAAAGAAATAACCGATAAACTCTGATTGCAGATTGAAGCTTACTTTTTTTCCCTCTTTTTTTTATTAATTTATTTTGAATTATCAACAATCACTTCCATAAGCTTTTGAGTTTTAAATTTTTCTCTCCCTCCCTCTCATCTCCCTCCTCAAGATGGTGCACAAACCATAGGCTATATATATACATTCCTATTAAACATATTTTCACATTAGTGATATTGTAAGTAAGAATTAGAACCAATAGGAGGAACTGCCAGAAAGAGGAAACAAAACGCAACAGAAGAAAAAAATAGCAAATAGTATTGAAGCATACTTTTTAACTTTATTTTTCTTGTTTTTGTCTTTGCTTTCTTTTGCAGCATAGCTAATATGGAAACAAGTTTTGACTTTATACGTATAATCAATATCAAATTGCTTGCCTTCTGAAAGAAGTAGGGTGGATAGATGGGAAGGAGAGAATTTGGAACTCAAAAATTTTTTTTAAAAGATTGGTAATTTTTTTTACATTAGTTGGGAAATATCTAATGAAATAAATGAAAACATATTTTTAAAAGGAAAAAATAAAGTCTCTGCTTTTACTAAACTAATAGATAAGGTAGATGCTTGGAGATGGTTTACCTAGATTTTAGCAAAATTTTTTATAAAGATCTCATGTGGAGAAGATAGAGAAATATGGATTAGACAAAAATATAATCAGATATATTAAAAGTTTGGATGGCCAGACTCAAAGAGGATATGTTAATGGTTCAGCATCAGTGTAGCAGGAGGTGGTATAGTGGAGTACCCTAGAGAGCTCTACTTAGCCCTGTGCTATTTAACGTTTTTGTCAATGACTTAAATAAAGGCATAGATGGTTTGCTTATTAAATCCAGATGGCACAAAGCTGAGAAAGATAGCTAACCCAGTAGATAACAGAAACAGGAATCCAAAAGGATCTTCAATGATTATAACCATTTCAGCCTCTTCTCTACTGCACTATGATGTCACATCCACCCTTCAAAAGCCTCAGTTTCAGTTATTATAGCCAAGACTTCTTTCATTAATTCTAAGAAACTTGTAGAGAAAATTTCACATTTGAGTGAAAAGTGAATTCAATGTCAAATGTAGTATATGTAGACAGTAAAGGTCTCTGCATTGGCCAGTTTTGCTTGACTATTTTTCTTTATGTCAGGTGATAGCAGGCTTTGCGCCAGTCAAAGGCAAGGAGATTTTTGCCCCTGACGGGTATCCATAATAAAGTCGGGAATGTAAGGCCAGAAGGGTAGAGTATAATTATATTAATTTCCTTTGGTTTTGTTCTTTCTTAGATCTATTTTGGGGCAGCTGGTTGGTGCAGAGGTTAGGGTGCCAGACTTGAAGTAAGGAAGATTCATCTTCCTGAGTTCAACGTGCCTCAGATACTTAGTAGCTGTGTGACCCTAGGTAAGTCACTTAACCCTTTTGCCTCATTTCCTCATCTGCAAAATGAGCTAGAGAAGGAAATGCTGAAAAATGACTGGACAACAACAGATCTATTTTCATATCAATTGACTGATCAACAAATATTTACTGAGTGCCAACTGCAACCTGCCAATCACTGTGCTAGGCACCAGAGATACAAGTGCAAAGAAGAAAAAAATTCCTACTCAGAAGGAGCTTCCGCTCATATGGGGAAAACAATAAGCACATATATAAGTATACAGAGTATAGATATAAAGTGAATAAATACAAATAAATGCATGAAATAGTTAAATACAAGGCAGTTTGAGAGGGATGGGTACTAGCAGTTAGGGGTGTTAGGAATGACTTCATGCCTAATTGGTGCCTAAGCTGCATCTTAAAGGATGAGAAGGATTTTATGTAGTAGATGTGAGGAGAGTACATTCCAGACATGGAGAATGGCTAACACAAGAACACAGAGACAGGAGTAGAGAATCATAAGTAAGGAACAAAGAAGATCTTGGAAATAAAATGGACTTTAGTAATCATGAAAATGATTTGGCACTTGTTAAAATAAAGGTTGACCAGTGGAATAGATTAGGTACACGACATACAGAAGAAAGTGAACAAAGTAGCATAATTTTCTTTAAAAGGAAAGACTGTAGTTACTGGGGAAAGAACTCATCATTTATCAGAAAACTTCTGGAAAAACTTGAAAGCAGTTTGGCAGAAATTGGGCATAGAACATCTCATATGCTAAGATAAATTCCTAATGATATATAATCAAATCAAGAAATTATCTTTCAGGGGCCGCTAGGTGGCGCAGTGGATAGAGCTCTAGCCTTAGAGTCAGGAAGACCTGAGTTCAAATCCAGCCTCAGACACTTGACACTTACTAGCTGTGTGACTTTGGGCAAGTCACTTAACCCTAATTGCCTCACCAAAAAAAAAATTACTTTTCATATCTATAGACAGGGGAAGCATTCATGATGAAAAAAGAGACAGAAAGGATCATGGAGATTAATTATATTCTTTGGACTGATAGTGCCTGGTGTTGAATTTAAGTCCATTAGAAATTCCTTATTAAATCCTGTTTAGCCCTTTGTGAAGCTCCTTGTGACCTCCAAATGTATATCAGGGAATTTCTAACCCTAAATCAAATAGGTATCTGAGTTAATGGACTTAAATTCAGTACCAGCCATAATCAGCCCAAAGAATATAATCTTGGCCTGGCTTTTATTCAGCTGCCCTTAGCCAGGTGTGGTTGGTTTATTGCCTTTGCTATGAACTAAAAGAGCTATAAGTCCCATCCTTATTTAGAAGATGCTTTCTAATCACTATCTCTTAGCAAACAAGAATTAATATGGCCAGCAGACAGTCCCAAAGAGATCAACCATGAAACTGGAAGCACAAAGAAGTGTGGCAACCACAAGACCAGTGAAGACGCCAACCAGAAGAAGTATGATATCCATTGGAAACCTGAGACATGAAACCTAACAGAAACAAAGCACTCAGGGGAGAATGGCATGATGGCATCACTAGAAGACATTAGCTGCACTGCTGCATCAAAGTATGAGTTACCCAAACCAAGCATATGCCCTGGCCATGCAAAGGCCAAAATGTGTGCCTTCTCTGCATAATCCCTGATTGTGTGTTTTCTATTTATGCCCTCTCTCATTTCACAGTACGGTGGTAATTTGTGGAAGAATGTATCTCATAAGCTTATGGAGGGGGGAACCTCTTAACATTTTATTTGCTATGCTATTTGGTTAGATGTCTTCTATTTAAACTAAGGTGTTCTCTGGATGGCTGTTAATAGTAACCTCATCATGTTGGTTTTGCTGAACTGTTATTTCTCTCTTTTTATTCTTTTTTATAAGGGGGTTTTGCTAATGAGGGGTGAGGGGAGGATACATTTGAAAATGAAAGAAATGTAAAAACAGATGATACTAGTAAATTTTTAAAAATAAATATTAGGGATGGCTCATGAGTCGTAGCATTGAGTGGCTGCTGACATACAGGTTACCTTGAACCTCTGATGGCTTTCTAGGAACCTGTGTGTGAGAGGAAGCACCCCAGCCTGCCAATTTGCCCAGTCTTCTCTATGGAAGACATTTCAGGGATGGTACTTATTATAAGAGAGAATCAAGAGAGAAGGTCATATTGAGAAATGGTAGTGATGTTTTAAGAATATATCAAGTTGCAGTCCCTGAGAAACAAAGTTCCAATGACATTGATGTTACTTCAGGTGCTGAGCAAGATGAGGCTTTGCAGTATCTGAGAAAAGAGCAAGTTCAGCAAGGATCATCTTACACTTATATAGAATCATAAAATCTCAGAACTGCACAAGACCTTCAAGATCATCTACCCTTTTCATTTTACAGTGGTGGAAATCGAGGGCCAGGGAGAGAAAATGATTTGCCCAAGATCACCAAACTAGTAAAACCCCAGTTCCGGCACAAACCTAAATTAAATCTTACCGGGTAGATGTTCTTCAGAACATCTGGAGAATCTTAAATGACCTTCTGAGAGGGAGATTCCACAGCCTCCCATGACAACTTCCTCCACTGTTTCACAACCTTGATTTTCAAATTGTTGTTTCTTACATCTACACACTCCATCCCTCCTGCTGTAACTCAAACCTATTTCCTCCTTGCCTTCTCATCAGCAGAGAAATAAAACAGCTGGTCATCCTTCTCCATGTTTTTCTACAGAAGTTTTTGAAGTCAGGAGGAGCTTTGCCAATAAATGGGCTTCGTGCTTATTACTTTTGAATAGGACAAAGATAATGGAACCAGTAGAGTATATTGGAAAGAGATGAGATTTGTGTGCAGAAGACCAGGCTTGACCTGCACTGGAATCCTAACTCTGTCACTTAGTACCCAAGTGGCCTCTGAAAAGTCATTTAGTTTCTCTGACCCTCATATTCCTCATTAGTAAAAAAAAATTATTGGGCTACGTGTCAGTCAACAAGCATTTATTAAGTGTTTTAGGTGACTTCCAGCTCTACATACTGGGTGGACTTAGCTCATAGGACATTGGAATATTTACTCAGTGGGGAAACATGTGCCCTTTTTTTTTTTCCTGAACTGTCCCAGACAGGAGGAGCCGGGTAAGAACTCACTGTCTCTAGACACTCTATCCTGTGGTCTGGAACTATGGAAATCTGCCCAGTCTGCTCTGTGGAGGCAACCATAGTGTCTCAGTATTGGAAGGAAACTCCGAGGCCATGTAGTCCAACCCAAACCTGAACAAGAATTCTCCCTACAGGATCAAAATGGTCATACAGCCTAGTTGTGAGTAGTAAAATCTCTGGAGAACATACAATAGTCAGGCCTCTGGAGAAAATCCAGAGAACCTAACACTCCAGAGAGCATTAGAAGAAAAAGAAGGAATCTGAATTAGGTCAATAGGATACATCTCACAAGAGCATCCCCAACTCATGAAAGTAGCTGGACAATTGCACGGAAATCTGTTTCAGTAAAACAAACAGAGCATTCCATTAACACAATGCTTGTTTTCTGTTGTTTTTTGTCTCATTTCACTTGAACAAGAAAGATACAAGCCACAAGACAACCAATGTATAACAGGGAATTAGTCCAAAAGGCAATGATTCCAGAGTCAAGATATTTCCCTCCCAATCTCCTATGCCTCCTATAACTCCACATATAAATATATAGTAGCACTCCACCCATCAACAAGTGCTAAACACAGTGCCAGGCATACTGTAGATGCTGAGGTTGATAGCAAGATATGTAAAACATGTTCTGTGCAGAGGGATGGATGATAAAGTGTTATTTGCAGGTAGGCTTACATGGCTGGATTATAAAGTACACGGAAGGGAGTAAAGGTAGGAAGTAGCCAGTCTATGGAGAGCTTTAAATGCCAGATAAAGGACTTATAATTGATCCTAGGCATACAAAGGAGCCACTGGAGCTTATTGAGTAAGGGAGTGACATGGTCAGGCCTATACTTTAGGAAAATCGCTTCAGTGGCTTAGTCAGGGATGGATTGGAGTGGGAAGAGCCTTGAGACAGGTAGAATAATTAGGAGGCTGTTGCAATAATCCAGGCAAGTGGTGATGAGGCCAGAACTAGAGTGGTGGCTATGTGAGTGGAGAGAAGAGGACATAGAAGAGAAACATTGCAAAAGCAGAAAAAGCAAGATTTGGCAACAAATTTGATATGGAGGGTGAGTCAGAACAGGGAACAGAACGAAGATCACACCGAGGTTACAAACCCAGGTGACTGGGAGGATGGTGGTAACCTCAATAGTAATAGGAAAGCTTAGAAGAGGGAGCTCTTGGAGGGAAAGATTAATTCTGTTTTGGACACGTTAATTTGGAGATGCCTGTGGGTTATCTACTTTGTAGCATCCACTGGGTAATTGGTGATGAAGGAATGGAGTTCAAGATAAAATAGCTCTGAGGTACCACCTCACACCTATCGGATTGGCTGAGATCACAGAAAAGGAAAATAACAACTGTTGAAGGAGATGTGGAAAAATTGGGATCCTAATGCACTGTTGGTTGAGTTGTGAACTGATTCAACCATTCTGAACGACAATTTGGAACTATGCCCAAAGGGCAACCAAGCTGTGCGTGCCCTTTGACCCAGCAATACCTCTACTAGGTCTGTATCCCAAAAAGATTAACAAAAAAAAAAAAAGGAAAAGGATCTATATGTACAAAAATATTTATAGCAGCTCTTCTTGTAGTGGCAAAGAACTGGGAATTGAGGTACCCATCAATTGCAGCATGTCTAAATAAGTTGTGGTGTATGATTGTGATGGAATATTATTGTGCTATAAGAAATTATAAACATGATGATTTTAGAAAAACCTAGAAAGATTCACATAAACTGATGCAAAGTGAAGTAAAGAGAACCAGAACATTGTACACAGTAACAGCAATATTATACAATGATCAACTGTGAATGAGTTAGCTATTCTCAACAATGCAAAGATCCAAGACAGTTCTGAAAGACTTATGATGAAAAAAGCTATCCACCTCCAGAAAAAGAAGTGATGGAGTCTGAATACAGATTGAAGCATACTGTTTTTTATGGCTTTTGGGGGGGGTCTGTTTTCTTTCATAATATGAATAATATGGAAATACGTTTTACATGATTCCATAAGTATAACCACATAAAATTGCTTGCCCTCTCAATAAGGGGGAGGGAAAGGAGGGAGAGAATTTAGAACTCAAATTTTTCAAAAATGAGTGTTTAAAATTATGTTGCTTGTAATCTGAAAAAAATAAAATATTTAAAACAGAATGGAATTCAGGAGAAACTAGGGATAAGTAAATACATATATTATATGTAATATAGATATAGATGTATCTAAATATATTTATATATATGTGTATATATATGTATATATATATAGACATATGCATATATCTATATATATATCTATAGATAGATAGATAGATAGATAGATAGATAGATAGATAGATAGATAGATAGATAGATAGATATCTGCATAGAGATGATAATTGAACCTTTTGGAGGTAATGAGATCACCAAGAGAGAGAAAAGAGAAAATGGTCCAGAACAGGGCTTTAGGGGACATTCACGGTTAAGGGTGTGACATGAAGATCCAGCAAAAAGCACTGAGAAGGAGCAGCCAGACAAGTAGGAGGAGATCCAAGAGGAAGCAGTATCATGAAACCCAGAAAGGAGAGATATTCAAAAGAAGATGATCAATAGTGTCAAATGCTGCAGAAAGGTAAAGAAGGAGAAGGAAGGCCATTAGATTTGGCCATTGTGAGAAATTCTCAGTTCCATTCACAATTTTGTCACCAGAAGTATAACCAGTGTCCCTACACTTTACTCCAAGATGTCAATATGAGGGTAAGGATGAGGAGAAGCTACTTTCACTCACATGGTCCAGGGTTATAATATTCCAGAGGCAGAGCAGATGTCTTCTACCTGGCTGTCCCATCAAGAGTTTTAGGACCTATGGAAGGATTTCGGGGAAGAAACATCACTATCTCCAGAATGTCAGAGCCCTGATGAGAAGAGCCCAGTACCCCAAAGTTCCAATCATCATCATGTCCTTCTCCTAAGCCACCCTTCTCTACTACCTGGACTAGAATGGATTGGGGAAGAATACTTCCACTCAACTTGGCCTGGAGAATTACCCTACAAGGATACCCAGTCTCATCTACAAAGAGTCAGCGACATGAGCCTACCTACAGATCTAAGGTGTCCCAGGTTCTCTCACACATACAACCAGAATTCCCAGTAATGACACTGTCTCTGCCTTGCTGTGTGACTTGGTAATAAAGCACTTTCCTTCTCTGGGCTTCAGTTTCGTCTCCTGAAAAAAAAAAGAGTTAAATTAGATGAATTCCAAAGTACTAAGCCTATGACCTCTATGAGTTCTATTTCCCTGCCTTCATGTACTGCAAAGCGTTCAGGGATCTGATGAGAACTAGTGAGATAATAAACAAGATGTATAAAGGGATCTCTGGAGGAAAGGTGCCAGGTGAACACAAAATACAAACGCAAAAGTTAAGCTCACACTTCCTCCAATGTGTCCTTAAAGGAGGCATTCATCCGTAGGACTAAACACAGTTTTACATCAGGCTTTTCCTGACACTGCCCTCCCCCTCCCCAGTTGCTAGTGCCTACCTCTCAAATTACTGTGCATGTATTTGGTTTGTGCGTATGTATATACCTGTGTAATGTGTAAATGTGTATGTGTATACATAGCGATAAGAATATATACAAACACATCCATCTTCCCACATAGAATGTAAACTCCTTGAGGTCAGAAACTACTTTCCTTTTATCTTGGTACCCCCAGTATCAATCATAACGTCTGGCACATAGTGGCCACTTCACAAATATTTATTAATTAGTCAATGATCCATGAATATAACTGAA